GGTGCAGTGGAGACTCCAGAAGTTTAGAGAAACCAGGAACATGGGTCATCTGAGGAAAACTGCAAGGAGGGACCACTTTCTCAGCTGCCATGAACTGAAGAGCTTTGCTTCAGCAACTTTCACCATGACATCTCTTCTTTGGAGTTAGCCACGTGGACTGAAACCCTGAAAAAATTAAACCTCACCTCTTTTAAATTATGGGTGTTAAGTATTGTATCTTAGAAATGAGAAAGTGAGTTAATGCAGAGATGTACTTACAGAAACCCTAAGGTACAATCCCTACTATTTATTGAGTGTATTATATTGGACCCTTGACATATTCATACAGTATCTCTAATTCTTACACCAACCTTTCAAGGCAGATATTATTTTCCCCATTTTATGATGAAGAAACTAATATTAAGTAGCATGCCTTATGATGTAAGAGATTCCTTCCCAAAGAGAAACAGGATAGAATCCTTATGCAAAACCAGCACTTTCAACAGTGCTTCCCAATCTTTGTATGAAAAAATTGGGCCAAAATAATAGGTTAGATATAGATTTGCAACCAGAAACAAGTCAGCATTTGATCCACCATAAAAGCAAAGGAGCACTTCAGCCTCAAAATTCTATGGATGCTACAGAAGTGCTGGGGAAACAGGATCTGTTTCTGTAAGTGACTAGATGATAAATATTTTGAGCTTCTTGTTTGAATAAGAACTTCACAGAATAGGATATCCAAATACCTAATAAATTATTAGTCATCAGGAAAGAAAATGATTATAATGGTACATCGTTAGATGTAATGGCACATCCTTAAAATGATACATTATTTACAATGATAAGTCATCAAGATGATGACACTAAGATAACACTAAACACCTATTAGAAGAGCCAAAATTTAAAAGGCTAGTAACATCAAGTGTTGACAAGGATGGAGTGCAGATAGAACTCTTCATACATTTCTGGCAGCAGCAAATCTGATGCTTAAATGAAGTCCTGTTACAATGTAATATAATACTTGCAAGCCATCCACTACAAACAAAAATAATAAGCACATTCTTATTTTATCTTTTTAATTCTGAAAACTAGAGTTTATTCAGAAGTAAAGATAAGTGGAGCTTTCCAGGGTGAGGCGCACATTGTCCTTCCATCCTCTTCAGTTTAAGCCTGAGATTCCTGTATATATTTACAGTGCCTTGCTTCTCCCCAGCACAAATAAGAAAATTCATTGTCAGCTCATTAAATCTTAAAAATCACAAACACTTAACTTTGATAAATAGTAAAGCATTGTTTAAAATGTGTGTACATTTATTACACACAATGAAAATTTAATTGTGCATGTGTTTATAGGTGTGGGTCTTTGTAATCACACAGCATTAAATAGCATTTAAAGCAGTTTTTGTAAATGAGCATCCATCTGAACTACAATTGTGTGCATTCTTCAGTTAATATAGTGAACTAGTACTAGAGATAACTTATTTCATTTCCCATAATAATGGTATATATGTGTATATACATTTATGAAAGATGACATCCTCAAGCCCACCTTAAGGATTTTGTTATTAACTGTTAGCATTCTACATTAATACTTATAAAATGGGATAAGTGTATTGCTGATGTCTATTGGTTTATTGAAAGGAAGAGTTAATGTTTAAATTTGTTTTTCTCTTGACCAATTTTGCATCCTTATATCTGGTAATCAGAACAACTAATTTGAAAACAACAATATGCAATATAACAACCGTCGTTGAATTCCTACCATCTTGTTTAATGAAGCTCTGTATCGTTTCTAATGTTTTTTATTACTTGTTATTGTCTTTAATTGTGTGATCAACCTTGCATTCTTACATCTGGTAATCTGACCAACTTTGCTGAAGATAACAATATGTAATATAACAACCACTGTTAATTCCTATCATCTTGTTTTGAAATCCTGTATCATTTTTATTGTTTTTGTCTTCATTGTTGTTGTTTTTTTCTCTTTAAAATAAAAAAAAAATTTTAAATATTTGAATTATTTGAGAGGATTTTCCACAGAATCTAACCATAGTTTAATTTAAAAAAAAAAAAAAAAGTTTGGTACATTTAATGTGCTAACATTGGCATTCTAATTTTCAAAAGTGCTTCCCAAACCAGCACACTCACCTCTGGGGCTTTCCAAGCAGAAGTTTTAAGTCCCCTAATCCTATTTTGAAAATAGAAGGTGGTAATGTTGGAAACGTGCCAGGAGTAAACCTTGGTATTTCTCATGAAGTGCCACAATGAAAGTACCTTGTCCCACAAGTCAGTTCCTTTTTGTGAAATGGTATCTCATCCAGCTTTCCTAATTACTCATTTTTCCAGAAAGCCCGTCTCCAGATTCAAGATAATATAGGCCAGATACCTCAACATTATTTCATCTCTCATTGTGACCATTTCTATAGTTCAGAGTTTTAACATCTAGTTACCAGGTTTTCATAATTGTTCATTACAAGTGCAAAAGTACTTTTTCCTCAGTGTAAATACAGTTGGTACCTGACTTATGCTGGTTGGACTTATGACTTTTCAACTTTACAGTGGTGCAAAACTGATAACATACTTGTGATGCTGAATTTTGAACTTTGATCTTTTCCATGGCTAACAATGTCTTCTCTCAAGATGCAGGTAGAGGGGAAGCACTGGGCCTCACCTTCCTGTCAGCCACCAGGTCTCAAAGGGAAACAGCAAGACTCTATAGTGGGCTATAGAGCTAATCTATGACACTCAGAAGGTTAGGTATATTAAATGCATTTTTGACATGTAATATTTTCAACTTAAGATGGGCTTATCTTGATGAAATCACATCATAAATCTTCTGTAATTTAAAAACTTAAAGTTATTTATCTTTTCTGCAACTCACACAATATTAAAATTTTGGTTCTCAGTGAGACAATGATTCACACTCTGAAGTCAGGCATGTAGGTCTTGAGTGCCAGCTTTGCCATTTATTGACATACAACCTGGGAAGTTCTTAACCTCTCTGTGCCTCTGTCTTCCTCATCTGTAAAATGAGAGTAATGATGATATTTTTCACAAGGCTGTTGTGATGATTAAATGTGATTCTTGAATATAAGCATTACTGTTTGCTATTATTTTGTCCAAAAACTCCCTATGCTTATATAAATAAAATCACATTTATGATTTTTACAAACATGGGATTGTAACTTGCTACTTGTACTTATTAGATTGTACATTTTCCCTAAACTACTTAATTTTCTTAAATAGTTGCATTGTACACCATAATATTTTCAACCATTTTTCTGTTAACATTCACATTCTTTTCCTTTTGTGGTTTTATAAAAATGCAACAGTAAACATCTTTGTACCATAAACATCCTTGTGCATTTTATGTATTGGTACGTTAGATTCCAATATATGAATTGCTTCATTAGAAAATAGTTGCATTTTTTATTGAAGTCAGCACCCCAGATAAATTATAGATGCCTCTTTTGCTACTACTAAAAAAAGATAAATACACATAGGTGTGTGTATAATGTGTATAAACATATTTATGTATAACAAGGAAATATATACAAAATATGCTAATAGTGAAGAAAACTGAAATTCTAAAAATAAATATCCAAAAGAACATAGGAAAAGAAAGCAAAAGGAGCAAAGATAGAATGAACAGAAATCAAATAGCAAAATAGCAGACTTAAAATTCACCAAATATGTATAATTACATTAAATGTGAATGGTGTAAGTTCTCTAATAGGCAGAGATTACAAAACTAGATAAAATGAAAACACAAGACCCAATTATATGCTGTTACTTTAAACAGGTGTAAAATGTTAAAATGTAACATGTAAATACTGTTATAAGAAGGTGATGTGGCTATCTAATAACAGATGTCAGAACCTCAAATTTTATCATGGTAAAGAAGGGCATGTAATAAGGATAAAGGGATCAATTTATCAAGGAGACATAATTCTAAATTTGTATGTCTCTAATTAGCTTCCAAAACATGGAGAAAAAAGGAAAAATCAACAGTCGTGGGAAATTTCTGTACCATTTTCTCAGAACAAGAAAGTAGAAGTGCTAAGATAAACCATGACCTAGGCCAAAAGTAAGACAAGTGGATAGTTGCGGAGCTTAAAGAATTAAAAAGGAATACAGTATTTCCATTGGCCTGGGACAAACATAAAAAGCTCCCTACGCAGAAGAGTGGGTATACCTGTGTATTGCCGTGAGGGAAGACATACCCCTAAGCAAATATGACAAGAGGCAAATACAATAGGATGCCAGATGCCTGGTTAGTTCTGTGTCAGAAAAGGGACAACGTAGAGACTGGAACCAAAGGTCGCTTCAAGGCTGGTGTCTAGCCCAGACCTGGTGAGTTCGGCAGGGCCCAGACGGGGCGGAGAGGGGGTGAAGGGCACCCAAGGGAGGCCACCAACAAGCAGAGAAGAATCTGGAGAAAAGACAAAAGGAAGAGGGAGGGGGCGGGGCGGGGAGCCTCTGTGCAGAGACCAGCACCGCGTAAAGGACTGGTTTATGAGGTCACGTCGTGGACCGTATCTCGTGTGGATCCTTTATCTGTGATCGGTGAAATCTTCAGGGAGGGTTCCTCTCGTTAATTCTGGGAGGTGCACCTTGGGAAGGCAGACCCTAGAAGGCAGCCAGCCCTCAAAGCCTGGGGTGCAGGAAATCAAGGGCCACTGAAGGGCGTGTGGCCCGACGCACCTGTCTTCAGAGGCCGCGCGCGGGCAGCGCCACCTGGAGAGCCTAGGATAGGGGACCCGCGAATGCTCCCGGGGCGCCCCACCCTCCCCTGCCGCCGCGCGGGTGGGCGGCGGGGAGCTCAGCCGCTCAGGCACCACCTGGCGGGCGCAGGGCAGCTTG